GGTGAATATTTTTGACAATGGGGCTGAAAGGGTATTCGCACATGCTTTGAATACTACTGGTGATAGTTCATCAGGGCCCGATGCTTTATTCAACTTAGTTTTCAGTAGCTGTTTCAGGACTGTTGCGAGTTCGATAGTGTTGGCATAAAGTTGACTAAGTCTGCCAGGGCAGTGCACTAGGAAACTGGACAAAACTATGTTTTTAGTTTTTCAGTGTCCACAGTTTCCTTTTTGTTTATTGCTTCTGCTACGCACTCGGTTGATTGCCCTCCACATGCCACGACAGGATAGTGTCGTTTGTTCAACCGATTTATTTCAGCTTTGATCGAAATTGTTAGTGCTTGATATGGATTCTTTTTCCTTGTTAATAGGCTTGTTCTTTCCGCCTGCGCAACTGTTTGAGTAGCGGTGATGAATATCTGTATTTATGGATAAAGACCGTTTCTAATGGACAACATTGGGTAAAGCAGAAATTAAGATAGTCCGTAACATGTTCACAGAGGACAGAACGGTTTTGATCGGGAAACACCAAAAAATCAGTGGCGGCAATCATTGATCTTAGTCTTTCTAGGTTCTCTGATGAACAATTTCTTTGACTCACTATCTTGTAAGGCCTTCTCAAAAATGTTTATCGGTTGGTTTTGCTGTATACAGTGGGACATTCTTTTAAGATACAATCGTCTGAACTGCTCAGGGGAGCGCGTTTCTGGACTTTAAAAAATTGTGGTCTGTTTGTGAAAACGAAATCAAGCTGTGAATTCAGTCTGGTAGGAAAAAATACTAAATTTTGTAGACCCAGTGTGGTGGGGAATGTTACATCATGTCTGTAGAAATCACCAACAAATATACATAAATAGTCACTTATTTTTGATATTATGGGGGTAGAAAAAATGTCAGAAAAGCTATTTATGTTGGCAACTGATCTTGTGGGTGACAGGTAAAAGTTTCCAAGAAGTATACAATGAAACCCACTCAAAAAACGGGGCTTACATTCGATGACATGACAACTTATTTTAACCGTTGAGTATTCGTGAATAACAGAACTGTTGATTTACTCCAGTTTTCGCTGACGTAACTTGCAACACCTACACCTCGGTTACGGACACTCGCGGGGCGGTCAACCCGATACAAGTTATATCCATCTACCTCTAAAATTTCACTAGGGATTTCTTCGTGTAGCCACGATTACTTAGGCATAATAATTTCCAAGTTTTTGTACTCTTTTTTCTTTGTGATGTCTACTACCTCCTCGACTTTTCCTAACAGAGAACGAACATCACTTGTCAAAATGAGAGGAATTTGAATTTGACTAGTGCTGCACTGTCTGAGAGCGACTTGCCAGCCTGCTAGATGCTTTTTCTTTCCGCCGTTTTGCATTTTCATTATCCTCTTGAATTTATTTCTCACACTGTTGGAATATTTCACAAAAGGAGCGGGTCGCGCGATAACACATAACGATTTCATGAACGTGCTCGTGTAGTATAGCATTTGGTGTCATTGAAATTGATAACAAGCGATTTGATGATAAATGAATCCACAAAAGTGTAAATATGATTTTCGAGATAAATGACGCGGCCGAATTCAAAGGCCCCGCCGTTAGTTATCAAATCTGATTGATCGCAAATGTCCTGAAACTGTAACGCGCCGCTCCAAGATGAGCGTCATCCCGTAGGACTGGATCACCACAACTCTCCTCCCTCAAGAGAGCTTCGTCAAATTGGCTTGCTCTTCTGATGGGTCGTCGGAATCCCAGTGGAGTATTCTCGTCCGTAGGCATTCCCGAAATAGGGGACTGCTGCCTTTGATCTTCTTCTTCACTCAAACCCACGCATCGCAGTGAGAAACGTAAGCTTCTGGCTTTGAACAATTTCGCTGGGCTCTCTTTGGTGGTAGCATGTGCGGCACTCTGATATTGCAATAGGAAGTTGTCTATGAGTATCTCCAGCTCTGAAATAGTCCTCGGATATCCAGNCCAGAGGACACCGTTTTCACCAAATTTTCTGTTGCGTCGTTCGAGCAAGGGTGACGTGGTGCTGTAGGCAGGTGTCGGCATCCAATACTGAACAGCCACGTTTTCAACTAAGCAGCGAAGAACTGCGACCCATTGTCAGTCACCAACACTTGAGGAACACACTCTCGGCTGAAACACTTTTGCAGTACCCACATCACAAACGATGTAGTTGATGTGCTGGTTAGAA